TGATGTAGCAACTTTCTAGTGACATTGTAGACAGAATTTCCTTTGGGCTATTAGAGTAACTACAGATAAGCAATATTATATATTATCTTCGCTATATCCAAACATCCTAATTCATTAATGTGCATACAAGATGATTGTGCAGTGCTATGAAAGCAAACATTTTTTTAATGAATCCCTTGATAGAAGAAACAGAATCAGTTCCCTTGTTTAAAACCTGCATGTCTCACAGCAAAGGTGTTCTACAGGGACTCAAATGTATTTAAAAATCTGTTTGTAAAAAATTTCATTTGTGAATGGCTGTGCTCGTTGCCAGCTGACACAGCTCTTGTGCTCTGCCACTAAGTGTGTATATGCATTGACTTATCAATAACATTTTAAGGGAAGACCTTTAATTTTTTTAAAAAGAAAATGGCTCTCTCTTTCGCTTATTTGAAAGTGGATGTCCTAATGCAGATATGTTGGTGTGATCCATCTATATGTATGCAGTTGCACCTGTGCTGTCATTGCCAGCTCTTAATTTTTTTTTCTCTCTCAATTTTAAACTTGGAAATCTCTTAAAGTGCAAAGAAGATGAATGTCCTGAGATTTGAGTCTTAGAGTATTACTGATGCTAAACTCTGTTACATGTTAAGGGTATTGTTATTTTGAAAGGTTAACACTGTACCAGTGTAGGTCACACGTTTTCATTTAATTTCATTTCACTGAGAAAGAAAGGTAAATTCTCTATCCACAGATTATGTGCCAGATAACGCTGACTCAACCAGAGAAAATAGAAAGTGTTGCCCTTGCACAGTAGTAAATACTTTATGTACAACTTTAACACTGAAAATATTCCAGATAATTTTGTAGCGGCATAATCTTCTAAACTATATATGAGCATCCAACCATAGGAGGTGCTTTTGCATGTGCAGAGGGTTGGCTGTACCTGATATTGCCACAAATACAACCGTCAAACAAATAACCTGTGATATTTTAAAGTTATAATGACTTCTGCAGTACAGCATATATTTTCTGTGGAAAATAGATAATGCCCCAGAAACGTAACAGTCTTAGCATCAGAGTGCATTAACAAATGTCACATTTTCTGATTTGGTGTTTGTGTAGTGCATAAATTCCTGAACCCCAACCTTGTCCCCCCACCCTGCCCTTTGTTCCACTCTTTGGAATGAGCATGATAAATGATCATTCAGGTCAGGAACTGGTGGGAGATCAGAGCTTGTGAAAATAGACTAGCAAGAATTGAATTCTGTCAGAAGAAAGAATTGACAAAAAATTTAAAAAATGCAGAGAATAAAACAAAACATGCCAATTTTTTTTTTGTTGGAAGGGAGATTGATGAGAATGAAGAGTAATCAGATCAGCCATGTTCATGTTGAATGGTATATCAGGCTTGAGGGGCCAAATGCCTTACTCATGCGAACCAAAAATACAAAAAGCTAAGGATGCTAGAAATCTCATGGATCTCATTTATGACCTACTTGTGCTCTTTAAGTTTCATGCATTGCTTTTTGTGGCAAGGCTGTCTCAAAGGATGACCACTTGTATCTTTTGACTGCAGCAGCAACCATTTTCCAATTATATTTTGTTTACTTTTTCCTCCAATTGTTTGATGTCCACATCTAACTTATTATTTGTCTAGCAAGCAGTTATTTGATTATTTTTTTAAAGTCTACAATGCCACACTTTAGCTGCTTCACTCGCTTCCCTTCTTCATTAGGTCAAATTAGGGATATTTGCTGATAATCTCGCAATGTTCAGCATGATCGGCACCGTACTGAAACAGTCCATGCTCATATGCAGTAAGATATGACCAACTTTCAAGTTGGACTGATAAGTGGGAAGCAGCATTTGCAATGGTCATTCTCCCTTGACTTTTAATTGCATTAATATTACTTAATCCCTATCAACTTCCTGGGGGTTGGTATTAGCTGGAAACTTTAATGGGTGAGCCATATATATGTACAATTGCCAAAAGAGGAGTTAAGCTGGGTAACTTGCTTCCCAACTCCCCAGAACCTATTTGCTATGTACCATGTACAAGTCAGATATGTGATAGAATGCTTACTACTCGCTTCGATGAGTGCTGTTTCAACAACATTGAAGAAGCTTGACACCACCTAGAATTAAGGAGCCTGCTTGATTGGCACCACATTGATCCTCCAGAACATTTGCTCCCTCTTTCTCCAATGCATGGTGTAAGCAGTATGTGCCATCCATAAGACTCACCGCAGAAACTCATGAAAGCTCCTTCAACACCACCATCCAAATCCAGGATCTCTCCCACGTAGAAAGAGGACAGAAGCTGTACAGGAATACCCTCACCTGAAAGTTCCCTTCCAAGAAATTCAATAAACTGTAGTTCCGTCAGTGGATCAAAATCATAGAATGCACTTCTTATAGGTTTTAACATTCAGTTGATTTGGCACACAAGTACTAGGTTGTTTAGGCACAGTTTAACAACACTGCTTGTGCATACATCAGATGGATTGCAGCAACTCGAAAGGAAGAGCAACAAATGCTGGCCTTTCCACAGTATTTTTCTTTGTGGTACAAATTTAGAGCAACGTAATGGAATTTGGTGCAATTCTGTAACACACAATTTTTTGCCACCTTATCATAATTCAATTATCAATTAAACAGTTAAATGATTAAAGCAACATGTTTAATCTCCCAAAAAGTTAACGAAAAATTGTACAATACATGCTAACATTTTAGAATTAAGAGATTGTAATTTTCAGTTTTATGTTTTTTAGACAGAGAGGTCTGAATAGTAAGTCAACATTTTTATGTTGGTGACTTTATTAGTCTGTACATTTTCACACTTTGGAGCAAAGCTGTGAGTTTTATAACTTTAAGCCAACAATCTGTGATGAGTGTAGGTTTTTTAGGCTGTGGTAATCTGATGACTTGTTAGCAACGTACTGCCTCACCATGGTCTCCAGAAACACCTATTTGCGGGAAAAAAAGTAAACTGAGTTTCAATTTTGTAAGATAGTTTACCAACAGAACAACTGAAAATGTAGCTAGCAATAATGTCACTGTACTGTGCTCTTGAAGAGTAGAAGCAGACAGAAATCAAAATGGTAGATCTTGTAAAATTTACAGGCACTCTAACTAAATCAATGGACCTGACAAATAATTAGGATTATTACCAGATGCATTATGCCTTAATAGGTATTAACTACTTTAAATAGCATGCACTTATAGTTTTCTGAAAACAAGCCTGTTGTAGAAGAAACATGCATGGCCATTTTGTGGAGAATGTGTCAGCCAAGAAGTAATTTTTCATATTTCTCACCCCACCTACTCCAATACTTCCTAATAGCACCTTGTGTTCATTTTACATCAACAATTCATTTTACACTTTGGTTTCATCATGTTCTAACAGGCCCCAGTGAATTTCTTTTGTACCTTTCCTCCTCTTTTCTGTTTGTCTGTGCAACAATACGTTGCAGCTCATTGTGATCCATCAAATAGGGAATATTTTTGTATTATATTTTAAATCATTTTGGATAACAAGTTAATGTCTTTGAAAATTAGCTTTTGACAGTGGTATCCTTGACAGAGTTATTTTACCTTTATATTATTTTGAAAGACTGATGTCAAATTGGGCCTTTTGACAAAGTCAAAATAACGTTTGTATTGTTTTTCCTATGAATTTGAGTAAAGGTTTTGCATTAAAACTAGTATATTTTTATTTGAGTTTCTGAGGAATTACCAGAAACCAGAATTTATTTCGCCTATATTTTCATCTCCTCAAAATGCTATGTAAGGATTTTATTCTTTGGACCCCAAAATCTCTCCTTATCATCATTATAGCAGTATTCTGACTCTCTGTGAGCAGTGTCAATTGGATACCTACTTGCACAATAAATACATATGAATGGGTACAGTGTCTCATGATTCTGTATTGTGAGATTATTGACCTGTTTATTGGACGTCTTTGTTGCAGTTAAAGGCAAAAGTAAATTTCTCTCATTTCTCAGCAGAGATTTCCTGTATGTATAGAGTCATACAGTCATACAGCACAGAAACTGGCCCTTTGGCCCAACTCATCCATGCTGACCAGGTTTCCTAAACTGAACTAGTCCCATTTGCCCGTGTTTAGCCCATATATCTCTCAACCTTTCCCATCTATGTACCTGTCCAAATATCTTTTAAATGTTGCAACTGTACCCGCCTGTACGACTTCCTCTGGCAGCTCATTCCATATACACCTCACCCTCTGTGTGGAAAAAATTGCCCATCAGGTCCCTTTTAAATCTTTTCCGCTCTCACCTTAATCCTATGCACTCATGTTGGACTCCCCTGCCCTGGGAAAAAGACTTTGGCTATTCACCTTATCTATGCCCGTCATGATTTGATAAACCTCTTTAAGGTCACACCTCAGCTTTCTACACTCCAGGGGAAAAGGTCCCAGCTTATCCAGCCTGTCCTTATAACTCAAAGCTTCCAGTCTTGGTAACATCCTTGTAAAGCTTTTTTGTACCCTTTCCAATTTAATAACATACTTCCTATAGCAGGGCAACCAGAATTGTATGCAATACTCCAAATGTGGCCTTTCTAACACCTTGTGCAGCTGTAACATGATGTCCCAACTTCTGTGCTAAATGCTACGAGTGATGAAGGCAAGCATGCCAAAGCTGCCTTCACCACTGTCTGCCTGTGTCACCACTTTCAAGGATCTATATACCGCACCCTTAAGTCTCTCTGCCTGTTAATGTATTGAGCATTTGTACTGAATGTGGATTGTTGGAGTTTAGAAATGATCAGTTTTGCTATCATGTCAAAATGGATTGTCTCTATAGATATTTATTTCATTGGTGATTCTGCTGCTGCCATTATTCAGAAAATGGCTTTCTTGAACTAAAACGGTATAGGTGTAACGGACACTTACCATTTGTAACCTGAATGTAAAAGCCATACAACTTGTATCTTGCAGTAATTGCATGTTTAAATGGTGTATTTTACTTGCAAATCCTTGTGATATTTTATTTCAGCACTGTGCATACTGTAAGCGCCTTGGAGCCACCATCAAATGCTCAGAAATGAAGTGCAATCAGCTGTACCATTATCCATGTGCAGCTGGAGCTGGTACATTTCAAGATATCAAGACACTCACTCTCCTCTGTCCAGAACACATCGACCAGGCTCCAGAAAGATGTGAGTGTAAGCATTTTTTCCTCCAGATATGAGTTTCGTACCTTGGTTTATGGTCCAGCATCTTTGAAATATAGCATTCAGTAGGAACAACTGTTAAGAATTGGCTTGGATTGAAATCTTACATTAAATATGTAATGAAAGTTGACTGTAGGTTTCGACAAGGTGTATTTTTAAAAAAAGCACTCAAATTGCTTTTGATGAATGATGTTGTAAACACTGAAACTGGAACACAATCTTCTTGTGAAGTCAGGTGATTTGAGGTGTCTGATCTCAACCCTCAACATTTAATTTACTAATTTCCAAAGTGTACTTTCGTCGCCACTTCCGGTCTGATGTGCAACATTGGACAAGTTTGATATGATGGTCAAATCTGGACCCTTGCTTTTACTCCACCAAGGTGCCTTTCTCCTTTTCACAGCTTGCCTAGAAGCCACAGGCTGTGTGTTCTTGGCTGGACCATATATTTCTTGTTAAAATTTTATTTTCTGTATGAATATGGTGACATGCAGTACTAACATTCTAAATATGTTGACAGTCCTTTGGAGCATCACTAGTAACCATGCGTCGTGTGCAATAAAATGATGATTGTAGGGTTTTTTTACACAGTAGGAATATCTGAAAAAAAGACCCATCATACCCTCCCCCAGTTTCAACATCCAGTCTTCTATTTTCAAAACGCTTGGGGAGAGGAACCCCAAACAGGTTTCCTCTTCCAGAATGCCTGACCTTGAAAATATTGACTTCATTGTGACATTTAAATGCACACCATATCAGCTGATTAAGCACAAGTCAAATATTAAATTCAGGATCTCCCTTTTCTATATAACTCTATAAAATTGTAAGACATTTGAGCAGAAATGGGCCAGTTAGCTCTTTGAATCTGCTTCACCATTCAATGAGATTGGTACTGCTTTGATAATCCTTAGCTCCACATTCCTGCCTTCACCATAAACCTCGATTCCCTCACTCATTAAAAATCTACCTCAGCTTTGAATGCACTTTACGACCCAGTCTCAACAGCCCTTTGCAATGAAGTATTCCTCAGATTAACTACCTTTTAAGAGAAGAAGCTCCTTAACTCTGACATAAATGGGTGATCCCTTGCTATCAGATTATGCCCTCTGGTCCTAGACATTCCCACCAGGAGAAACAACCGTTCCACACATACCCTTTTGAGCCCTCTTAGAATCTTGTATGTTTCAATAAGGTCCCATTCTTCCTAAACGCCATTGAGTACAGGCCCAACCTACTCAACCTCTCATAGAACATAGAACAGTGCAGCACAGTACAGGCCCTTCGGCCCATGATGTTGTGCCGAACTTTTACCCTAAACCTAAGGTCTATCTAACCTCCACCCCTACCTTATACAATTATCCATATGCCTATCTAATAGCCGCTTAAATGCCCCTAATGAGGCCGACTCCACTACCCGTTCCGGCAATGCATTCCACTACCACTCTGAGTAAAGAACCTATCTCTGACGTTTCCTCATAAGACAATCCCTCCATACCAGCAGGTTAGACTTTTCTTGGTAAATTTTCACAGCCATGTGGTCCACCAGCTGAACTGCGAAAGAAAACTGCTGAAGTTAAGAGGTAGGCTTCTTATAACTTGCTAATTATTTTTATACGTCGAGAAATGAGAAGTTGCTAAGTGTTGAGTTCTGTGGTTGGCTGATTTGTTAAACTGCCTTCATATGTAGGGACTTGCATAAATCCTTGTCCATGATTTGGGGACACAGGTAACCACTGAAATAGAAATAGCCTCACCTTTGCCTTGCTTCAACTCATTTTGTCCTCGAATGTCAAACCAAGTAATTTTTATGAATTATTTGTTTTTCAGCCAAGGAAGAAGCAAATTGTGCTGTTTGTGATAGCCCAGGCGAACTTCTGGACCAACTTTTCTGCACTAGTTGTGGACAGCATTACCATGGAGCATGCCTAGACATAGTTGTGACCCCTTTGAAACGGGCTGGGTGGCAGTGTCCAGAATGCAAAATCTGCCAGACCTGCAGGTAAATTCCGAGTTAGATACTTTATTTTTAATGTAGATGAACAATTCTAAGATTTAAGGTAGAGAAACATTTTAGTCAAAAAATTGTTTAACATGGATTTCATCATAAATTCTGTAATTATGTACAATGAAATAAAACAAGGGGCAAAGGAGCCAATTCATACCGAGTTGTAAATTGTAGATATTTGTTTGTATTTTAACATACTTGTGTGTAAAGTTGTAGGAAATCTTCTTAGGGCCTTGCACTATAATCCTTTAGTTAGAAGGATGTTTCTTTTAACTCCATTGTGGCAAAATATGTAGCTTTATTTTAATGTTCATTCTCATGTATTAATCCTTCAATTTTCAAGATTCTGTATTGAGTGAAACACAAATTCCATGCCAGAAGAACATTTGCAGCAGTAGTCATAAAAGATGTTAAAAGGAATAGATGGATTTTGTTTGCTGTCCGCAGATGGAAAGTTTCTCATCTGTCACTTATGCATGAGGTAGTCAATAAACGTGGACCTGCAGAAAATATGGATTGATGCAGAACTGTTTGCCCTCAGTTTCCATGGTTGTCATTTGTAACATTTCTTAAAGTGGAAGCATAAGCACAACATTTTGAAGCTATTGATAGAACATTCTCTCCAGAATTTGGTGAAAATAACAACTTTTTTGGTTTTTGTTTTATAATTTGTTACTGGGAATTGCCCAGGAGCAGTATATCCCAAAGTCCCTTAAAAATGATGGGACTGTTAGTGATGAACATAAGATCATAAGACTTAGGAAATGAAATAGGCCATTCAGTCCATCAAGAAATTCAGTGAGGTCAAGGCTGATCTGAGAATCCTCAATTTCACTTTCCTGCACCACTATCAGAACATTCAAGCTTATACTAGATCCCTCCAAGTCACACACCATGCTGACTTGGAACTGTATTGCCTTTCCTTCACTGACCCTGGATCACAATTCTGGAATTTCCTTCCTGTGACCACTATGGTTGTTCCTACACTCAAAACTGCAGTGCTCTCCCAGGCATTTGTGGATGAGCAATAAATACAGGCTTAGCTGGTGTTTCCCACATCTCATGAAGGAATAAAAAAAAAATTATATCCAGTGACAGTGGAAAAGATAATCTTGTTAAGAAAGTCCTCGATTTTTGTTCAACTTGTAATATGTCAGCCAAAGTTGAGGCTGTTGTCAATAATAGTGCTGTAAAATAAACATGCAACACAAAATTTATTTGGTTGGCCTCATGACCTGTGAGGGTCTGAAATCCGAAGTTCTTAAATCATATGACTAGTTTGATTTGCTTTCCCAAGGAAAATCTCTTAAATTTGCTGTGTATTCTTTCAGACATCCAGGTGATGACAGCAAAATGTTGGTTTGTGACATCTGTGACAAAGGCTATCACACGTTTTGCCTCCAACCAGCAATGGAGTCGATACCTACAAACGGCTGGAGGTGTAAGGTGAGCAATAACTTCAATCTGTTAACATCTAACTGCTTGTTTGGACAGTTCGTATTACACCTGATCAACCAACAACTGATAAATGCTTGTGACACATCTGGAAGCAATCGAATAATCTGCATATGTTTTGATTATAATGTACAGGATAACCTTTTTTTGCACCATCACACCTTCCTTTAATGCATTTTCATTTATACAGTCAAAGCTATGGGCCTTAGTTATCTGCTCTACTGATGGTATTCAGACCCGGCATTTTTACCTTACACCTGCATAAGCCTGTAGCTAGCTAGGCCTTTATTTAAAGATAAAGATCAAGTTCCAGTGATGTATCACAGCCCAAATGCAAAATCAGTCTGAGGCCTGAGCTGGAAGAGATGGTTTTCCCAATCAGGTCAAAGCTGCCTGGAAGTAGATACAGACCAAAAGGAGGTAGAAAAGAAGGGAGGGAGGCAGACGGCAGGAAGGCAGACGGCAGGAAACTATAGGCCGGTTAGTCTGATCTCAGTTTTTGGTAAGATTTTAGAGTGCATTATTATTAAGGATGAGATTGCGGAGTCCTTGAAAGTGGATGATAAAATCGGGTAGAATTAGCATGGCTTCATCAAAGAGAGGTCTCGCCTGACAAGTCTGTTAGAATTCTTTGAGGAGGTAACGAGTAAGTTAGACAAAGGAGAGCCAATGGACGTGATCCATTTGGATTTCCCGAAGGCCTTCAACAAGTTGCTGCACAAGAAGCTGCTAAATGAGATAATACCCTGTGGTGTTAGGGACAAGGTACTGTCAACGACATAGGATTGGCTGTTAAGAATGCTGAGAGTAGGGATAAAGGGGTCTTTTTCATGAAGGCAGCCAATGACTAATGGTGTTCTGTGGGGATCACTGTTGGAACCTTGACTATTCATGTTATACATTAATGATCTGGATGAAGGACCTGAAGTCATTGCTGTTAATCTTGTAGACGACACCATAGTTGGAGGAACAGGTATTGTTGAGGAAGCAGGAAGGTTGTCATTGCAGAAGGACTTGGGCATGCCAGGCAAGTGGGCAAAGAAGTGGCAGATGGAATACAATATGGGAAAATATGAGGTTAAACACTTTGGTAGGAAGAATAGAGACATAGGCTATTTTCTAAATGAGAAAAGGCTTCAGAAATCTGAAGCACAAGGAATTTCGGAGACCTGGTTCAGAATTCTCCAAGTTCTGTTGGTGGTTGAGAAGGCAGATGCAGTCTTGGCATTCATTTCAAGAGGACTGGAATACAATAACAGATGTATTGCTGAGGCTATATTCTGGTCAGACAAATTTGGGAATATTGTTTTGTATCCTCTGTCTCTTTTGAGAGAGTCCAAAGGAGGTTTACAAGAATAACTCCAGGGATGAAGGGCTTGTCACATGAGGAGCGGTTGAGGATGCTAGATCTGTACTCTGGAGTTTTGAAGGACGAGTGGGTATGTAACAGAAACTTACAGAATACTAAATGGCCTGGAGCGAGTGGATGAGGAGACAATCTTTCCAGTAGTAGGAAATAGCGAGACTCTGACCCGGGAGCACAGCCTCAGTGAAGGGATGAAGTTTTAGAATTGAGATGGAGGAGTTTCAGCCAGAGAGTAGTTAAACTGTAGAACTCATTGCTACTGAAGGAGGCCAAGTTTTTGAGTGTGTTTAAGACAGATAGGTTCTTGATTAGTAAGGGGATCAGTGGTTACAGGGAGAAGGCAGACAATGAGTTTGAAAAACATATCAGTCATGAACAGATCAGTGAGCTGATGGCCTAATTCTGCTACCACATCTTATGGTTTTGTGGTTTATGTTATGTTGTTAAAAGAGAATTATGAATTATTTTGTTTACTTGAGGACTAGTGGATGCGAGTGCTCCTTTGGGCTTTCCCTGCTGCAGGCTTCTTTCTGTCAGTTGTGGATTGTTGAGGACTCCTACCAGGCAAACTTCCAAATATGGAAATCTATTGTGAGTGATGGTTTGCCTACCTGAAAGGCCAGCCACAGATTCCTATTGGGAAATTGGCCGGCCGGCCACTCACTCACTGGGCTTCCCCTACTTCTCCTGTAGGAAAGGCCTGTTTCTCGTAATGAAGCACTCCCATCTGGCCCCACGTGTTTTAATAGTATTCGTTTCAACTGTTTATCATCATGTCAGTAAGAGATCCTTCACGCTATTAATAATCTGTATCAATGAAAAATTGAATGACTGAATAGATTTTTTTAAGATTCTTCACGAATGTACTTGACTAAAATTAATAAAGGAGAGAGAGAGAAAGAAGAAAAATGTCTAGAAATTTGGTGAATTAGTTGTCCATCAATATTTTGGCCACCAATCTTTTCTCCTTGGCCACTTTTGAAATCCCAACTAAAATAATTAGGTATAAAATTATTTTTCAAAAGTATTGAAAAGATATGTTCACTTGCCCAGAAAATTGTCCTCCACCTGTTTAACAAAAACAGTTTTATCTGGAAGACTGCTGTTTAATGGCTTAGGTACTTGAGTTTTTTTTTTAACCAGTAAAGCTTGTCCCTCCTGCTGTTGGTTCATGTTTGCCTTCAATGCATTTTCTGCTGGCTGAACATATTCTTAACTGTTGGGAGTCTGTTGTGGACTTACACTTAATGCTCAGCACTAAGTGTGCATGGTGAGAAGTCAGACAACACCAGGTTATAGTTCAACAGATTTATTTGTATCACAGGCTTTTAGAGCATTGCCTTTGCGTCAGGTGAAGTGGGAGAGGAGCACAGAGGCACTGAATTTATGGGCAGAGAGATCAAAAAATCATACAAAGTGGAGTGTCAACAGGCCGAATAATAGATCTCTGCAGGTGATCAAGAGTGTCAGATGGTGTGAGTAAAGTGTCAACAGCTGAATAACAAGCAAGGGGATGACCTATAATCCAATTAAAGGAGGTAGAGAGGTAATTACATAAAATCAAAAATAAGGTAGTGCTGGAGACAAACCAAATAACTGGAATAACATGCTAGGTAAAAGAGTTGTATGCCAAGGGTCTAAGCAGAGTAATTAGTAATCCAAACTGTATCAACTAATTAAGATGGAGAGATCATAACAATTTATCAAGGTGATGGTGTCAAAACAGGATAGTAAGGAAGATTCCACAGATACAGAACAGTATGGTGGGGTCCCCTGTAGCGCGACATGAGCCCAAGATAACGGTTGAGGCCGTCTTCGTGGGTACGGAATTTGGCTGTCAGTTTCTGCTCAGCGATTCTGTGTTGTTGTGTATCTCAAAGGCCGCCCTGGAGGGCATTTACCCAAAGACCAGAGGATGAACCTCCCCTGACTGGGAGGGAACATTCTCTTGTCTGGTGATTATTGTGCAGTTTCCATTCATCTGTTGTCGTAGCATCTGCATGGTCTCGCCCACATACCATGTCTTGGAGCATCATTGCCTGCAGTGTATGAGATAGACAGCATTGGCCGAGTCTGCCATGTACGTGGTTTTCCCACATGTGATGGCATTATTTGCCACAGCACAAGCAGCTGGGTTTGATTGCTTTGCAAGTTTGAAAGTTAGTTAAAGATTCAGAACCAGTCTTATTTGAGCACTATATTCCTTCAATTTCAATTGACTATTTGCTTTTCAGTATTGAAGTCAAGAATAATTTAAATTGATGTAGTCGTCCTAAAGGTTGTTCTGGGGAGGGAGTGAACAAGAAGCAAGGCATTGAAGAGAAGTTCATAGAACTGTTATGGTGCAGGAGGAGACCATTCAGCTTATTATGTTTTCACTGGTTCTTTGAATGACTATAATGATTTAGTGCCATTCTGTTGCCTTTTCTGCATGGCCCTGCTTATTATTTCTATTTTTTCTATTCACTCATGGAATGTGGGTATCTCTGGCTGTATTTAATGACTGTTGCTAGTTACCCTTGAGAAGGTGGTGGTGAGCTGTCATCTTGAACAGCTGCAGGCCATGTGCTGCGGGCAGAGTCTCAATGCCCTTAAGGAGGAAATTCAGGATTTTGACCCAACAATAGTGAAGGAATGGCAATATATTTCCAAGTCAGGATGGTGAGTGGCTTGGAGGGGAGCTTGCAGGTCGTGGTGTTCTCATATGTCTGCTGCCCTTGTCGTTCTAGTTGGAAGTGGTCATAGGTTTGGAAGGTGCTGTCTAAGGATATTTGGTGAATTTGTGCAGTACACCTTGCTACACACTGCTACTACTGAGTGTCAGTCATGGAGGGAGTGGATGCTTGTGGATGTGATGCCAATCAAGCAGGCTGCTTTGTCCTGGATGTTGTCAAGCTTCTTGAATATTGTTGGAACTGCATTCATCCAGTCAAGTGGGGAGTATTTCATCACACTCCTAACTTATGCGTTGTAGACAGGCTTTGAGAAGTCAGGAGGTGAGTTACTTGCTACAGGACTCGGAGCCTCTGACCTTCTCTTGTAGCCACTATCTTTGTATAGCAAGATCAGTTCACTTCTGTTCAGTGGTCATCCCAAAGATATTGATAGTAGGGCTTCAGTGATGGTAATGCTATTGAATGTCGAGGGATGGTGGTTAGATAGTCTCCAATCAGAGACTGTCACTGCCCGGCATTTGTATCGCGCAAATATTACTTCCACTTGTCAGCCTACGCCTGTGTACTATCCAGATCTTGTTGCATTTGAGCATGGATTGGTTCAGTATCTGAGGAGTTGCAGAAAATTGTGTGGTCATTGGCAAATATCTCCAGTTCTAATCTTATGATGGAGGGATGGTCATTGATGAAGCAACTGAAGATGATTGGGCCTAGGACACTACCCTGAGGAATTCCTGCAGAGATGGCCTGGAGCGGAGATGACTGACCACCTAAAACCACAACCATCTTCCTATGTGCCACGTATGACTCCAACCAGCGAGTGGTTTTGATTGATTTATTGTCACATGTACCAAAATGCAGTGAAAAGCTTTGTCTACGAGTGGCACAGGCAGATCATAGTAGGCAAAGGATGTACAGATCAAAAAGACTTAGAGGCATACAGGTTACAT